CCCAGCTGCCATCTTCTCCTTCTATACGGCGGTCGTCGAACATGATGTGCCCCTTTCTCATCTTCTAGAATATGTGATTTGCGTTGGAGGGTTAAACCGAGACTTTGGACACTCGTGGATATAAGTCCTACTAATATCCCAATCTGCCAATGTGTAAAAATGGTAGTTAGATAGCTGTGCAACGAATCTTTGAACTATTTCATTTCCAGGACGAGAGACTTTGACTTACAGCCACACTTCCCCCAGGCGATAGGTCGCCGAGCTGTCCCATTACGATGTATTGCAAAGCTTCATTTGGTATGGTAAAGTACCGTCCTCTGTCCGAGAAAGAGATTATATGGTGTAATAATTAAGTTTGAGAGAGACTGCGTGTGTAAAGTGATTGTTCCAACACGCGGTCAACATTAAGTCATATGCGATGTCCACCAGATCTCGGGGGTATGTATAACGATCAAGGTTCGATATCCTGAGTCGCGATGCAAATTACTCCAAGAACAACCGCTCTCAATGAATCACAACAAATATAATTCTGCAAATGTGACAGTGCGAACAACGAGTTTCAGATGAAATAGAAAGAATTTTGGCATGAATTATTCATTTCCCACGAGTCAAGGAACATTCCTCACCGTTCAGACAAGTATACTTCGAGAATACGTAAACGCCACAGTATCACATGATCATTAATCGGGACGTCGCTTCCCTTATCGCTTCTGGACCTTGGAGCTATCCCAGGTTGTTAATCCCCAACCTTGTTGTTGCTATTGAAGCTCCAACGTTTCCAACGAATATCAACCTTTCCACATCTCTCGATTCCACGCAATCTTTCCCAGTACTTTCACATCTACCAATCGCCCATCATGTCGCACGCTCTTTCGGATGACCAGGTAAGTGAAGCTATATCCAGCAATCACTCCAGCCTCAAAATCCTATGCTAATGTTATATCTAGGTGTCGCAGGTACGGCTTCCCTTCCTCTCCCCGAGGCTTCCCATCTCCAGAGCCGGCATTAACGCAATGTGAAAACAGGAGTTGAAGAAGATGACGGCGTTCATCAAACAAGAAGCCATGGAAAAGGGTCGCGAAATCGAACTCAAAGCAAATGATACGTCTCCACCAACAACCCATTTTCCATCTGCCTTCCCCCTAACAGACCCAAACAGGAATTCGCCATTGAAAAGTCTAAGCTCGTCCGTCAAGAAACTTCCTCCATCGACACGCAATATGAGAAGAAATTCAAGACCGCCCGTATGTCCCAACAAATCACTCAATCGACCGTCGCAAACAAGACTCGTCTCAAGGTTCTATCCGCCCGTCAGGAACTCCTCGATGGGATCTTTGAACAGGCGCAAGGAAGACTCAAGGAAGCTACAAATGACAAGGGCAAATACACGGAGATCTTGAAGAATCTTTTGTTGGAGGGCATGTATGCATTGAACGAGGGAAAATTGCAGGTTAGAGGGAGAAAACAAGATTATGACCAGATCAAGAAGGCAATTGAGGAGGCGCAGAAGGTGTACAAGGAGAAGATGAAGAAGGATGTGACCGCGAGTATAGATGAGAAGAACCCTTTGCCAGAAGAATCGTAGGTTTCTCGAGTTTTAAGTGTAATGAGGTCGGAAGCTAACGTTCGGATAGTGCTGGTGGTTTGTCCATTATTGGTGGAGGAGGCAAGATTGATATCAACAATACTTTTGAGGAGCGTCTGAAGTTGCTCCAGGATAACGCATTACCCTCTGTCCGAACCACATTATTTGGTCCTAACGTTAACCGGAAATTCTACGATTAGTTGTTTGGTGGATGATGAGCGTTGTGTTTTGAGAGTCTCAAGGATGGAAAGGAGGTACGAAGGAGCTTTGCACATTCCAATTATAAAATATTGCAGGTTTTGTCGGTAGAGCGTGTATGATACATTAACATCAATATCATTAAGATTGCATACAGAATGTTTGGTCTTGAAATATACAAATCAATAAGACCTACTTCAGGCGTGACTCGCATATCTTGAGCGCAGCACTCATCTATTTTGCCTGCTTCACAAAATTAGACATGCCCTTTTGCATTCCCTCCAGAGATTCTCCCTGTTCATAATATTTTTTCGTCTCTTCATAAAACATGTTTTTCGGTTTCCGCCTAGTCCTCACCGTATGTTCTATTCTCCTCTCCACTAAATTTAAAATCCCACTTGTTTCCACCTTTGAGATATGAGCGGCACCCGAAGCCATGATGCCGAAATTAGCAAATCGATCTGTCAACTCATCTACGTCTTTATTAAACTGTATCTCTGTATCTTCGTCTGTCAGATCTAGATCTTCGGCTCGTCCATCGTCAATACCAATGTCTAGGAGGAGAATTAGGGCCGAGAGCTCGGGATAATCGGTAGTACGAGTTATCTGGAAGGGGGGATCGTTGAGACGCTGGATGATGGAGCGGATGGAGAGGGATTTTTGGGGTGGAGAGAGGGATACGGGGAGAGAGGAGAAGAAGAAAGTTAGGGCTAGGCGACGACGGAGTTCGTGAAGTTTGGAGGAGCGGATGGGGGGGATGGAATTTACTATGTCGAGACGGAAAGAGGCGAGTTCGACGGTGTTGAAGAGGGTGGCGCAGATTGTTTGGGACTATTGGGGGGACGATTAGTTTATTTATGTGTGGGACTGGAGTTTGAGGGCTGAGAGGAGACTTACGGATTCTTCCCATACATCGGGATCAATCCAGAGACATAGATTGTGCAGTGTTGTCTGTACTTGTGATAAGAGATCAACTCTTTCTAGTAAGGCTCGATCTATACCCAGTCTCAAGAGTATACATATAACTTCCAGTCTCGTTTCTTGTTGGAGATACTTGGCTGTTAGATTTAAGAGGCCGATCAAAGCTCGGACTTTTGACCAAGGATGATTTGAATATGCATCTGATATTTCTAGACGTGGCACGACTTTTTCAGATAGAGCAATCGCCGTATTCGTAGCACCGATAGATTTGAACATCTTCCTAATGACCACAGGAGTAACCAGTCGGTGAACTTGTTTTCGTGATATTGCCAGAACAGAAGAGTAGGCATTTCGAAGATCATTCTGTTCTTCCAAACAGAAGTCATCTAGAATCCATTGAATGATCTCATCGGGCAATTTCTTTCGATACGCAATCATATTCTCCGCGAACCCCGATACAAATGTTTGATGTCTGATCTGAGGCTCGGCGAGATCATTCTTCCAATTTTTCGGCAACGAAGAGGTTGGAAATGGTTTCCTCTTAATCGGGGGAGTTTCTCCCATTTCGAAAAAGTACCATCGACTGCCAACATTTCCAGCTTCTGTTCTCTTAACAGCCTTTAAGACTTTCTGAATATCCTTTCCGCCGCCATCTTCTTTCTCCTCATTCAACTTTCGTAGGATGCCGCCATGAATATCATCGTTGAATGCGGTAGGTTCATCATCTCCCATCTCCGTATCTTCCTGAGCTATTTCTTTCAGCCTTCTTTCTTTTTCCTCGAGCGCTCTATCGGCCACCGCAGTTCCCATGAGATGTTTCAGATCAAATTTGTATGGTGTTGTTCTAAGAGCTAATGGAGAACGCTTGGCACTTGAGAATGGGTCATTTCTAAATCTGGAGGCCCTGGGGGATACTGGGGCTAGCGTGGAAGATGTCGCGATTGGCGCTGTACGATTTGTCTTGAAGATAACGTTGAGATCTTCCAAAGAACTATCAGAATCGCCTTCGTCGTCTGAGCATGGAACAACGCCATTCGAGATATTGGAAGAGGACTGCGGGATGTTTACCGGTGGAGTTGATAAAGAGGAGGTGGATTGTGGAGAAGATGGCGAAGAAGATGATTGTGGAGAAGACATAGGTTCCATAGTAGCACTTGAGACTAGACCTGTTGGCTGAGGGTTTGTGGAAAGTGAAGATCCGGATGTTATCTGATCATTGTTGCGCGAGGTTGTGGATAGAGGGGTAGATGCCGATGTGGCAGCTTGTTGTGTCGGCTTGAAAAATTGGCGAATGTTTCCATTAGTTTTACCCTTCTTTGAAGACATGACCAACTAGCACGTTCAGATATTATAGCAGATATGGAAACACGTAGCCCTAGTTGCTTTATTCAATCCATGAGAATCTTCTTGTCAAACGTGCATAACAATCTTTCAGATTTCGATGAGTTGAGAGTCGCGTCTGTGTCGCGTAATTGATAATGCTTGTAGACACGAACATCACGGGATGACGAATTTTGGATCACTTCAATTTGGTGTTTCTATTTTGGGTATTAGGTAAGCGCCGGGGCGGCATTCACGTTACGATCGACAGCCATCCAATTTAGATGAAACTATTTGACGACTACTTGTACTTCAATTCTACTTGTGATTAAAATTCTGGGCGGCGAGCGATCGGATTGTAAAGATCTTCATTAAAAGGATGATTTTTTTGAGATTTATTTGATGAGGATGTGTCAAATTGTCAATCTTGAGAGTGCAGTACCGTCCTGCATACTCCACGAGTCCGCCATCAAGAGATCAACTACCTTGGCTCCTTGGCTCCATGGTTAAATCCGGTCCCTGCTCCATCGCGGATCTAAAAGTCCCTGCGCTTCCGTTTTACTTCCAATTTGATGCAGATGTCAAACGTCCATATGTACAATTTTTTTGATGGTCCGGTCCGGATGTTGGCCATCCTGCTCAGAGAGAGTCTAAGCCTCGCGCTGGATTTTGGAGGAATCATCTTTTTATGCAAGCTAATGTTATCTGAAGTCAGCAGCAATCACCTTCGCCTCAAAGGTACATACATACATACGTGAGAATGAGATGCGAGAGTATTGTAGGTTCAGGTAGGGCGTTGATCATTATTGATATCGGCTGATGATACATACATACCCCTCTCTTAAGATTAAAAAGGTTAATAAATGATACCTTAGCAGTACCTTAGCAGTCCATCTTTTTATATCATGCAGATTGTCCTTTCTTTCACAATTCACATAATGCATGCATCTCGCTCTGTTTAAACCCCGAGTGGTACCTACCTAGTATCGATAGCTGGTTTCGGATAGCTATAAAAAAAGGGATGAATGAAGTGAGGTAGATGATCAATGTACCTAGGTAAGGCTTTATCCATTCGGCTAATCAAGAGTAAAGAGGGATCTACGGAGTACGGAGTTATGAGAAAGATCCAGCCACCAGCAGCGGCCAGCCTGGTTCAGTACTTTGATTGAAATATCGATAACGAATAAATTGTTTGGCGTTTTGTTGATGGAGCAGATTGATAAAATGGTCCCTAGGTCAAGTGAAAGTTATATAGACATTAATTTGAGCAATACATAGGTACCTTACCATTTCTCCTTTATGCAAATGACCAAGTGCACTGTACATACCTAGGTAGCGGTATCGATAATGAGACGTCTCCCAACTGCTCACGGTCAGATATAATATCCGAGAGCTTTTCTCCGAATCTCCTTCCTCCACCTTTGTTCGGCCGAGTTTTCCACTCGACTCCAGCCCCAGCCATTTTATGAAATGCTTACTGTTATGTTATTATCTAAGTGATACCGTATGCTTACATATGTCAATTTCTTCTCTTTCTCTTGGTCTTCTTGGTATTTATCCAATTATTTCCACCCAAAGGAATATGTCGGCTAAGGTACATCCTAGATATACCTGGTCCTTACAGAGGAGACACTCGACACTGCTCGAGTATAAACTCCGGATCTAATCTTGTAATACATTCATCCAGAATACCTACCCATCTAGATAGAATGTCCTGTACATCGACATGCAGTGATACATCCAAAAGTCCCTTCCCCTCCCCCGACAAAGTCATGACAAAGCTCAGCACAGTAATAGAGTAAGATCTTACATGGCCAGCATGGACAATTCCCTCCTTTCCAGAACAACTGTTTGTTGATATATTGAAGGTTAACCCCTGAACTTTGTTTCTCAAATATGATTGGCGTAAATGTGAATCCTGGGTTTTCTGGAGCACCCTCGCACCTCCCAGCCAGTGTGCCTCCCAAGAATCTTTGGAAATTTCAGCCCTCTGGAAAAATTGTGAGGCGGTACAGGGACGATGTGGATGGATGGGCATAAATCAGTGAGCATGAATGAGCATGAGGATGAGCATTTTTGATATTTCCCTCCTCTTCTCAATCCCATGCAACAGCTGAGAATGAGGTGTCTTTTGCCTACCTAATAAGTATCTACGGAATTTACTATTTGTGCTGGATTTCGTGGATTACGGTACGTACGAAGTGCCTAGGGACTATCTGTCTATCTATCTACTTGCAGCATTCAGACACTCCCTTGCTCTCTTAATAACAACCATCTACGAGTAAGAGGAGGACAAATCAAATCATTTGTTTTGCGGGAATCCTTTCTTTTACCATTTCCCATTTTCCTTCGAGGCTACTCTACTCTGGCCTATCCAAGCCCAAGCAATTTCGATTCATCTCTCCTTCTTCTCCGTATTCTTTTCCATCCGCCATAATCAACCTTTCTTTCTTATCCCTAGCTACCTACTTTTTGACTTTCGTGAAGCATGGAAAATGCGTGATATGATGTATGTACGATTCTAGTCCTCACATACTACTATTTACTACTATCTATTATATCAATCGCCTCTCCACAAATCCATCATCCGCGCTCCGAATTTCGTCGGTTTCATGTGGCGTTTGCTACTACTTCTCATTTGTTCTTTAGCTGTTGCTCAATAAGCATTTTACGAACTCCTCTTACCCCCCCGGAACTCCCAGAGCATTTCATTCACTTGCTCAAACCCAACTCAAACCGTAGACTCCATCCCTCTTCCTTTCTTTCCTCTCAACATCAACAATTACCACACTTTCCTCGAAACTTCACCATCTCTTCAATTCGAACTATTTGCCTCTTGGGGAATCTGCTCACACACAATCTTTCAATTGCCCCATACAACCTTGCATGGTTCAAATATTCAAAATCGAAAAAAACTACCGCCCATTCGCGATCTCCTGGCCGACTCTTCCGGTACCAAATTAAGTTGTCATAAGCGACCATTCTAAAAGTACCAGACCTTCTACTGTGTGGACCTTTATTATAACGATACTTCTTACCGTTGCTCGTCGATATTAATTTCGTCTCTGTCGAAAGTTCTAGTCGAGTCTCAATTGTTTCAATCGTCTTGTCTCTTTCACGAATTATACTTCAACGTCTGAATTCTTTCAAACACTGGCGGACATATTCACCTTGCCTGCGGGCTCTTGCCTCAAACTGGGCTTCCGCCCCAATCACAAACGATCGCAATCATGCCGGACGTCGACATGTACGCAGAACCCGAGGAGGATGCACCTGAGCCAGGGACGAGGCGAATGAGATGGGCCACACAAAGAGTGTCTCCCAAAGGTAGTGATAAAAAGAGAACATCGATAATGGATCGGTTGCATCCGCGTAAGTCGCAAAGTAGTGAGAAGAGAGACTCTGCCGGCGCAAGTTCAATGGGAACGGATCTTGACAGGATACAAGAAGAACAATCAAATGAAGCTGCGGAGGAACAGGCGGAGGATGACGATAATGACGGTCAAGGACCTAGAAAGGTTTTCTTTAATCTTCCGTTGCCACGGGACGCGATCGACGAGTCGGGTCACCCCTTGGTGCATTATAAACGAAACAAAATCAGAACTGCAAAATACACTCCTTTGAGTTTCATACCGAAGAATATTTGGTTTCAATTCCATAATATCGCTAACGTGTATTTCTTGTTTTTGATCATTCTCACCGTAAGTTCAGGTCTTGTAGATTGCATGTGTGAGGCTGATGATTCGTATAGATCTTTAGTATCTTTGGTGCATCTAATCCAGGTCTCAACGCTGTTCCCTTGATTGTTATTGTCGCAATTACAGCTATCAAAGATGGAATCGAAGATTATCGCAGAACCATTCTCGACAATGAATTGAATAATTCGCCCGTTCATCGCCTTGTTGACTGGAACAACGTAAACGTCAGCGATGATGACATTTCACTATGGAGGAGAATCAAAAAGGCTACTTCACGTTGGATCGTAAGGACACTCAAGAAAATGAAGAAAGACAAAAAGCTACCCGGAGAGACGTATGCCCAACGTGCTATGGATGTGGACGAGCCTCGGCCCTCTTTCGAGTCAAGGGCTGCGCGAGACGACATTCAAATGACACCAGTGCCCTCTCCCCTTCCACGAGATGGCGAGCTTGATGTTCCCGATCGCCCGACGACAGCTTTCTCTTACGATGATGCTAACGGGAAAGCCCCTGCGGAGAAGAATTTCGGAAGTTTGATCAACCGCAGCAATGCAGCAACTGGAAAACCCAGATTTCATCAGGATTATTGGAAGAATGTGCAAGTTGGTGATTTCGTTCGTATCTACAACAACGATCAGATCCCAGCAGACATTGTGATTTTATCTACCTCTGACCCCGACGGAGCTTGCTATGTTGAAACGAAAAATTTGGATGGAGAGACGAACTTAAAGGTACGACATGCTCTTCGTAGTGGCCGAAGCATTAAACACGCTCGTGATTGTGAAAGAACGGAGTTCACTATCGACAGCGAAGCACCACACCCTAATCTTTACCAATACAGTGGTGTGGCTCGTTGGACGCAATACAATGGAAAAGATGGACCAGGCGAGGACATGGTTGAGCCGATCTCGATTAACAACTTGCTTCTCCGTGGATGCAATCTCAGGAATACAGATTGGATTCTCGGAGTTGTCGTATTTACCGGTTTTGATACCAAGATCATGTTGAACTCTGGAATCACTCCAAGTAAACGCTCACGCATCGCCCGGGAACTCAATTGGAATGTCGTTTACAATTTCATTCTTCTTTTCATCATTTGTTTCGCTTCTGGTCTTGTCGAAGGTATCATTTGGGGACAAGGCAACAATACCATTGATCTATTCGAATTTGGTTCCATTGGTGGAGCCCCGGCACTTGACGGTTTCATCACTTTTTGGGCTGCTCTTATTCTTTTCCAGAATTTGGTACCAATTTCATTGTACATCACGATTGAAATCATCAAGACTTGCCAGGCGTTCTTCATCTACAGCGACAGCGAAATGTATTACGACAAACTCGATTATCCTTGTACGCCTAAATCGTGGAATATTTCTGATGATTTGGGACAGATCGAGTATATCTTTTCTGACAAAACTGGAACTTTAACCCAGAACGTCATGGAATTCAAAAAGGCCAGCATCAACGGAGTTCCCTACGGAGAAGCATACACTGAAGCCCAGGCTGGTATGCAAAAGCGTCAAGGTATTGATGTAGAAAAAGAAGGTGCAAGGGCTAAACAGCAGATTGCTGCAGCGCGTGCTAAAATGCTGGTCGATGTTAGAAAACTTCATGACAATCCGTACCTCCATGATGATGATCTGACTTTCATTGCTCCTGATTTCGTTACCGATCTCGCTGGTGAAAGTGGTAAGGAGCAACAAGACGCCAATTATCAATTCATGTTAGCTCTCGCTCTTTGTCACTCGGTTATTTCAGAAACCACACCGGGCGATCCTCCCAAGATTGAATTCAGAGCTCAGTCGCCTGATGAAGCAGCATTGGTTGCTACTGCCCGTGATGTTGGTTTCACTGTTCTCGGAAACTCGCCAAATGGTATTTTGTTAAACATTCAAGGTGAAGATAGAGAATATAGGGTTCTAAATCAACTCGAATTCAACTCGACCAGAAAGAGAATGAGTGCCATTATCCGTATGCCAGACAACAGAATCATACTCTTCTGCAAAGGTGCAGATAGTATAATATATTCTCGCTTAAAGCGAGGAGAACAACCAGAGTTGCGTCGTACGACAGCGGAACATTTGGAGATGTTTGCAAGAGAAGGTTTACGTACTCTTTGTATCGCGCAAAGAGAGCTTGGTGAGCAAGAATATCAAGATTGGAACCGCGAGCACGAGATCGCGGCTGCTGCCATCCAGGACCGTGAAGATAAGCTGGAAGCAGTATCAGATATGATTGAACGTGATCTCACCCTTCTTGGAGGTACAGCTATTGAGGATCGGCTGCAAGAGGGCGTGCCTGATACCATCGCACTTCTCGCCGAAGCCGGTATCAAGCTCTGGGTTCTTACTGGTGACAAAGTCGAGACCGCCATCAACATCGGGTTCTCGTGCAACTTACTCAACAATGACATGGAACTTATTGTCTTCAAGATTGAGGATGAGCAGGTTTCTACCGCTGAAGCAGAACTTGACAAGCACTTGGCAGCTTTTAAACTCACCGGTTCCGACGCGGAGCTCAAAGCCGCCAAGAAGAACCACGAGCCACCGGCACCAACTCATGCTATTGTCATTGATGGCGACTCTCTCAAACTTGTTTTAGACGACTCATTGCGACAAAAATTCCTTCTCTTGTGTAAAGAGTGCAAGTCAGTTCTCTGTTGTCGAGTCAGTCCTGCTCAAAAAGCTGCAGTTGTGGCAATGGTCAAGGGCGGTTTGGACGTTATGACTTTGTCTATTGGTGATGGCGCAAATGATGTTGCTATGATCCAAGAGGCAGACGTTGGAGTTGGTATTGCTGGTGAAGAAGGAAGACAAGCTGTGATGTCCTCTGATTATGCTATTGGTCAATTCCGTTTCTTGCAGCGACTTGTGTTGGTCCATGGACGATGGTCATATCGCAGATTGGGAGAAACCATTGCCAACTTTTTCTACAAGAACGTCGTATGGACTTTTACAATTTTCTGGTATCAGATCTTCGCCAACTTCGACATGACATATCTTTACGATTACACTTACATCCTCTTGTTCAACTTGGCTTTTACATCCGTGCCTGTCATCTTCATGGGTGTTTTGGATCAAGATGTTTCAGACAAGGTCTCTCTTGCGGTTCCGCAGCTCTATAGACGAGGCATTGAGCGAAAAGAATGGACTCAAAAGAAGTTTTGGTAAGTATAAATGAATCCCGCTTTGATATCGACGACTAACATAGTGCAGGCTTTACATGGCCGATGGCTTGTACCAATCTGTCATGATTTTCTTCATGGCATATTGCTTGTTTGACTCTGGCACTTTTGTTACTTCAAGCGGCCAAAACATCGATGATCGAGAGCGATTTGGAGTTTACGTAGCACCTGCAGCCGTCGTCGCCATCAACGTATACATCCTAATCAATACCTATCGTTGGGATTGGCTCATGGTCCTTCTTGTCACCATAAGTATTCTCTTGGTTTGGTTTTGGACTGGCGTTTATTCATCTTTCACCTCGTCGGACTATTTCTACAAAGCCGCTGCCCAAATTTTCGCACAAGCCACCTTCTGGGCCGTCACCTGTCTTTCTGTAGTCATCGCCCTTTTACCACGATTTGCTATCAAGGCTGTGCAAAAAGTTTACTTCCCATACGACGTCGACATTATCCGCGAGCAAGTTCGCCAAGGCAAGTTTGATTATCTTGATAAGTCCGATGAGCGCATGGACACAATGTCCAAGGATGGTTCATCGGCATCTTCTTCTGAGATCACGAAGCCGAGTAAGCACATCCACTATCCGAGCATTGATGAAGACCAACGACCCATTTACCCTCCTTCAGTTGCTCCGACGAACACCACACACAATCCTCGAAGTCAAAACGGTAGCGACGGAACCGACTTTACAAGACATAGAGGTTCGATGGACCAACTTGGTCCTCGGGTCTCCGTTGACAGGCCACGACCCTCCTTCGATAGACTGCGAACGTCGTGCGATCGAGTTAGACCAAGTTTCGAGGCTAGTAACGACTTTACTTCGGCAGCCCTTTTAACACGCTTAGAATCAAGTCAATCATTTGGGCCGCTAAGAAGTAGGAGGAACGAAGACATTTCACAATGATACCCGAATATCATATTCACTCTTTTCCGAACCGGGAGACTGCGACGAACTGTACCATACATTTTCCTTTTCTTTTGTTGATACAGGAGATATTAAGCATAATGATCTGCAGGAGCGATCTACGACCTTTGTGTTCTACATTTGGTTTTCTTTTGCATTGGTGTTATAGGCGTTTTAAATGACATGAAAAGGCACTAGGCCATATTATCTTATTTGTTTTTGCTTTCCAGTTCTTTTGCTGGCGAGGGCATGTTGGGTTTGGAAGATAGTTCTAGATCTTCACTTCTGATGGTGTATACTCAGCAGTGATAGTAGGATCCGTGGTCCATTTGTATATAGCGATTGCAAAGCAAACAAGTGCACAGAGCTTCAATATAGAGAGCAGTATAATCTAACTTATCATTTATATACCTTGATGATTGTTGTGACTTGCCTGCCTTGTGCCACGAAAATTGTAGATTGTAGGATGATTGTACTGTCTCCATTTGTGATTTAACATGAGCTTCAGTGGACTTCTGAAGTGCCTAGTGATGGTAGTATGTGACGGTTTTGGAACTGAGATATTAAGTAATAACAAGATGTATGTACTATTCGCAAAAGAATGAATGTTCTTCGAATGATCTCAAGTACCCAGTCTTTTTTCCCCTGTAAACCGATTGACCTCAGATAACAAATTCTCAGCCTTGCATGCGAGGCTACTGGTAAAATCAATATAAGTAATCCACGTGAAATGGCTTTAGAAGTCCTACGCGATGCGCGTTAGCACTTTCAATCTCAGCCCTTACCTCAACTTTTTACTTTGTCGTATATAAAATACAGCAATTGGGTAAATGTTCTCGAAATTTGATTGCAACATCATACCGTATATCAACTCCGCAAGTTTGATTGTCAATTTGCCAAAACTTGCGCTTCGTATTCACTTTCTTTAACGATTCAAAACTTCAAAAGGCGACCACTTTCTTCCTTGGGGTGCTAAGACTTGCAGTAACCTCCCCAACTATTACCTTTCTATAAATTTATTCCTAATACTTTCTGTAAACTACATTTATCCATATCAATCTTGATTCTCTAAATATTCACATTTGAATCGCATGCTCAGCTTATGAAATATCCGCAACCATGCCTGATGAAGCAGATATCATGGACGAGCTTCATGGCTCCACGGGTTTGTACCACGAGTTGTAATTATTTTTACGATTAATACTGATGAATTGTTGATAGGGAACTGAAGAGTTTTCCTGTCGATGCCCATTGGTTTTGCCCCAAGCGGAACGACGAAGACTATGTCGACTATTCGCATCCAGATGACGCCGAGGAGGACATGAGTGCAGAAACCAAGAAGGAGCTCATACAGGATGCCCAGCGGAGACAGACTATTGCATATAAATTCTCTCTCACTATAGGATTAGATCGCGATGCTGGGGGGGCGATGGTAGAAGGCTACCTGGAACGTTTGAATAAGCTTCTGATGTGCTGTGATAAATGTGTGCATAGTTGGCATATAGGTCGTAAGGCATATCTCAAGGAACTATCAGAGTAATACATCACAATATGCACTTGATCTTGATGCTAATATATCTCAGAAATTTCGACGATGAAACGGTTGCAGCGCTCTCAAGTCGCCTTAATGTCCTCGACTTTCAACGTATAGATAACGGGTTAGAAAGAAGCAAGAAAGTTATATCCGAGGTGGAATCTCCAATGAGGACGCAGAAATTGCTAGCTGGCTACGACTCTTCCCTTCTACTGTCTCTGTACGAATCACTTTGTTGCGTCGATTACCACAAATCCGCAGACAACCTTTCGAAACACTTCGATTTCGTTTTTGAAGAGATACAAGCAAAGAAGGTCCTGAGAATAAGTGATATACTGCCAGCTACAGGGCGTTTTCTATTCGACAAAAACCCCATTAGACAGCGTTTCGCGAGGTGTGCCTGGCAGAAAGCTACTACAATGCTCACACCCACATCATTCGACTGGGTCGTGCATGACGCATTGTCGGACGCAATAGTTTCTGTGACCCAGGGAAACTACGATTACGAGGATATCATACGATTTTGGGAAGGATTTCTTTTGATTTTGGAGAAGCTTGATGAACATTTGATAACACACTCTCTCCGAGCAATGGAAGTTCAACCAAGTGTGTACATACTTGCACTCAATCACTTAAGTTGTAAATCGGAAAGAATCAATAAGTTAATCATCGAAGCGCTTAGAAGTTTGCTCAAGAAGTCTTCGAAGAACTTCTGGGCTGCATTTGCTACAATATCACCAGTTGCCGTTGCAGAAAACATTCTCAGATCTTGGGGCGTTAAAGAAAAACTGCAAACAATAAATTTTGAAGACCCCGAAACTTCTTTTATTCTGGCATGGTTACCTGAACTCGTGGAGTCACTTCCTTCCGATCGTCAATACGATGTCTGCAGTTTCGTTTTCAGATTTCTGGGAACTTATCAGACCTCGGAATACCCAGAGAATACCCAACTCGCATGTCGTTGTGCTGCACTCGATACTCTCCGTGCCACCTTGAACACCTTTGTCGATTCAGAGTACGTCATCAATCCGTCGACGTCTCTTATATTCATCAATAACATCATGAAACTCGTTGACGACTACAAGGAGACGATCACAGAGTCTGCTGATTTGAAGGTGGAAAACACCACACACCAAGAAATGAGAAGACTTGGTATGCTAGTCATACGAGAGGCTTTGGCTCTCGACTGCAAAGCTTTGAGCGCAGAGTTCCATGCTCTTGCGGACGATATTCCGATACAACAGGGTCTCCGAAGCCATTCCCAGCCAATTTGGCAAGGCGTTCTTGACATATTTAGGCCAGGAAATGTAGATTTAGCTAAAAGCATTCTGGCGGCAACAACACACCTTACTGGATTAGATGAACTCACACCAAAGTCAAAGAAACTACCACTTCCTTCCTCTCATCTACAGTATAATAAAGACTTTCGTCAACTCACTGAGAACGTGTCTAGAATCTTTGAGCGCCTCAGCGATTTTAATGCATCTCATTTGATCGAGATGTATCGAGATCCTCAGACCTCTCGGCCACTGTTTGCAGCCCTGATGTCTGCTGATCAACAGATCTTTGAGGCTGCTGTTGAGGTTGTCAAAGCTGCAACGGATCAAATAAGCAAGCGTGAAGCAATATCGAGCTTATTAGGGCAAGCATTTGTGCCGATGTTGAATTCTTTAACGTTTGCTGTTGTCCGGATCACCAAAGCCAAGAACTTTTCCCCTGTCCCATATTTATTCAAGGTTGGACGAGACACGCTGGAGGCCCTTTGCGGAGACACGACGGGGTTTTTACGAACTCACCCATCTTTAGATGCTACAGAGCGAGGCGCTGTAATGTCTTGGTGGATCAATCAGTGGCGTGCCCTTGATGCGGCATTTGCCAACACAGAAGCTTGGGGAGGTCGTGTTCAACTTCCTAAGGAAACCTTGCAAGACTTTTGCCGAGATGGTATGGAATATGCAGAATCCTTGTTTGATAAGAACAGTATCATTGCTTCAGCCCTATGCGAGTCTTCTAACTCGCCTCATGCTCATATCCCGTCCTCCGGTTATATATCGAGGAAGGCTGCACAAAAGAAAGTATTGCAAGTCGTTTGCTTGAACGTGAACGGCCTAACAATGATGCTGAGGTTGAGAGATATCTATTTGGTCAGTGTGATCACTAGTCTCCTCGGAAAACTTCTTCGATCATTAGCAGAGTTTGATGTTGAGGTACATGAGTATTCGCTTAGTTTTATTCAAGATGCGTGCTTAAATGAGGGCGAGAAGGGATACAGAAAGACAAATCTTACTAACCAACAAAAAGCTGAGTTGCGCGCTGCCCTTGACGAACATAAAGGTGTGGAAATTATAGAGAGTTATTCTACAACGGCTCAGAAACAACAATCAAGAATCGATTCTTGGTCTAAGTCAGCAGGAGGTGTAAAGCATGAGCCAACGTTCAGTGTCAAGGGGCGTCAAACTCAAACCTCGCTCGATACTTGGTCAAAGGCTGGAGACGGCAAAACATATGAGCCAGTCATCACTCAATCCAACAAAGCCTCTCAAGCACCCTTTACCCTTTCTGAGCATTCTAAGAGTATTATGGATAAAATGAGATCACAACCACCGCTAAAGACCGCCAAAGCTACTGAAGATTGGAAGGACAAACGCCGTAGAGATGAAGAAGAGAAAAAGAAGCGTAATGCTGCAGCAATTGCTCAAGCGAAAGCCCTTCGTGCTCCAGCCGCCTTAGTGAAGGGTGAGGGATCTGGTCTAAAGAATCTCAGCGGTGTAGCTGGGAAAGATCATGCGCCTGTTCGAAGTGAGATAATGGTAGGATCTTCAGACGAAGATTCGGATGATGATGATGACGACGATGGTTCCGACACGAAGTTTCTTTTCACCAAAAGTCGAGAAGCTTCAAACAAAGTTAGGGAATACGAAGAGAGTAGGAAAAAGGCACTTCTACAATCTACTGGCCCAGTGCGGAAGACCAAAAAGGTTTACTCAAAGAAAGATCTTCGTGCTCGCTTGGAGCCAAATATGGACATTATATATCTCGAGCTTCTCAATTGGGATATCTTTCATGAGGGGGAGGATCCCCCAAGCAATAATGTTTGCAAAAAGATTGCAAACAGCTTCCTCGACCTCGGTCTCTATAAAGAGACATTCAAACCATTGCTCATATCGGAAGTTTGGCGCTCTTTACTAACAGCCAAAGAAGAAAATCAATTCAAGCCCATTGAGATAAAGGTTTTGAATCGTTTGTCTGTTGATAAATTCATGGAAGTTAGTACAACTATGTCAATTTCCAATCAAAGAGACCTCATGGTGTACCAACAAGATATTGTACTCCTTTCCAAAAGCTCGAGTCCACTTCAAGACAAGCAAGCGCCACATTGTCTAGCCCGCGTTTTCAGGACCACCCGCAAGCGTGATGCAGTGGAAGTCACTTACAGAGTCAGTAGAGACATTAGCCCCGAGCTCTTGAATTGTTTCGTGCCCAACGGCAAGTTATATACTCTCAAAATCACCGATATGACGACAACTTTGCGAGAGTTTGCAGCCTTGAGCAGTCTTGAATACTACGACTTGTGCACAGAAATTCTGGAGGCGAAGCCTTCTCCTTTACAGAAATATTCCGATGAAAAGGTCGCTTCGATGTCGACCAGGTATAAACTTAACAATGGGCAAGCCAAAGCGATTTTGTCCGCCAACGATAATGATGGGTTTACATTGATTCAAGGGTATGTATTGAATTTTGTTCGACTCCAAATGATATAGCTCTAACAGTACTAGTCCTCCGGGTTCTGGAAAGACGAAAACGATTATCGCCATGGTAGGCGCCTTGCTATCTCAGGTGCTTCAGCAGCAAGCGCAGCAAGTGGGCTTCAGACCGCAGGGCCAAAATCGCAGTGCGGGCCCTCAAGCACAAGCACCAAAGAAAAAGCTACTTATCTGCGCTCCCAGTAACGCTGCTGTTGATGAATTGGTCCTCCGGTTGAAGGAGGGAATTTTGCCTCTCAGCGGCTCGCATCAAAAGATTAACGTAATTCGTGTCGGGCGAAGTGATGCGATCAATTCTAGTGTTAAAGATGTGACACTTGACGAATTGGTGAGGATCAAGCTCGAGGGGGACCAAGAATCTAAGAAAGGTCAATTGAATGATCGGGAGGTGCTTCACAGGGATGCAGGGCTTATCAAAGAGAGGCTCAGTGTTTTAAGACCTGAGATGGAAAAATGCCGTGCTGCAGGTGACAAAACTTCGGAACTAAAATTGCAAAGGGAATTTGATGAGCTTAAGCGAAAGCAAGCCCACATAGGCAACAAAATTGATGAAGATAAAGAAAGCGACAACAAAGTGCGACAAAATGAGATCAGTAGGCGCCATTTCACTCAGGAGATTATCGATGGCGCCCATGTTCTTTGTGCCACGCTCAGTGGATCCGGACACGACTTTCTAAGAAATGTCAATGTCGAGTTCGAAACAGTCATTATTGATGAAGCTGCTCAGTGTATTGAACTCAGCGCTCTGATACCTCTTAAATACGGTGCCACGAAATGTATCTTAGTCGGAGATCCTGAACAATTACCTCCAACAGTTCTCTCACGATTAGCAAAGAGTTATGGCTATGAACAGAGTCTCTTCGTCCGCATGCAGCGAAATCATCCAAATGATGTCCACTTACTTGATACTCAATATCGTATGCATCCTGAGATCAGTCGATTCCCAAGTCAACAATTTTACAACAGTCGTCTTATTGATGGTGATGGAATGGCACAATTACGGGTTCAGCCATGGCACGCAAGTTCGATTCTCGGGCCTTATCGATTCTTTGATGTTGTGGGTGTTCAAAGCAAAGAGGCTAGAGGCCATTCCCTCATAAACGTTCCTGAGTTAAATGCTGCTATTCAGCTTTATCAACGACTTAAGACAGATTACAGATCCTATGATTTCAAAGGTAAAATCGGTATCATAACTACCTATAAAGCTCAATTGAATGAGCTAAAACGACGTTTTGGTGCAAAATTTGGAGACGAAATCTTTGAAGAGATTGAGTTCAATACGACCGATGCTTTTCAAGGTCGAGAGCGAGAGATCATTATATTTTCTTGTGTTCGTGCTAAGGCTGCCGGGGGTATTGGATTTTTGAACGATATCAGACGTATGAATGTAGGTCTTACTAGAGCCAAATCGTCATTGTGGGTTCTAGGAGACTCTAGAGCATTGGAACAAGGTGAATTCTGGAATAGGCTTATTCAGGATGCCAAAAGCCGTGAGAGATACACAAGTGGTGATATTATGGGATTGTTATCGAGGCCGACATCAAAGGATGCACCAGCGATAGACTATTCGAAGATATCCTCAGACATGAATGGCAATAGCTCTAGGCGTCCATCTGAGAAGAGCGACAGCGATATCGACATGACGGATGCGCTGCAAAACCGAAGTTCTCGAGAATCGATATCAGGTAGTAGTAGCACGACATCGTTCGATGGTAGGAATACACCAAACAGTGTTGAGATGGGTGAGCAGAGGAAGAGACCTAGGGAGCAAGAACTTCACTCAGATAACATTACAACCAAAAAGAAGAAGAAGGTAAGTCGACCGAAAGTCTGATTTTGTACTAGTCGTGGTTTATGCCATTATTTTTATACTTATTGACTCTCGTAGACATCATCGTCAGAAGCAGATTCTGCACCACCAGCTTCTGCCATGCTCAATCGAGGACCAGTCGAACCTCAAAAATTAGATCTGGAAGCTGCACTTCGAGCACAGCAGGCCAATAGAGCTGCTGCTGCCGCGGCGCGTACACCGAAATCTAATTTACCGCCTCCACCGCGTAGAAAGGCACCGGCGGACCCGTTTATTCAACGTAAACCACCAAAAAGAAAGTGAGGGTCGCATGGATTTATTTATTGATATTTTTTAAACGGTTAGGACACTGCATAGTTTGGCGCAACAAAATATTAGCATGGCGAATGGCGCACGTGTGAGACAGGTGTATGCTGGTGGGAATTATCTTTTAACTAGTCGATCTGATAGATCTTAGAGGGTAGAAAATAGTTGCATCTTGGTGACCTGACCTGTGACAGCTTCATTACAAGTTCGAAGAAAACCATAATGACGAGAGGTTTTAATTGACATAGATCAATGAATCCTACAGAGTTCAATGAGTCGACGACTTCCGAGGTAAAATCTTCTTGTAAATATCAACAATTAAGCGGAATGGTTTACTCAATAGTTTCCTATAAAAGCCACTTGGAACTACTCTCCACTACTGCTGGTAACTCCCCTGCACCTTCTCGGCTCGTCCCCGTGTCTTAAAATTTTCGATATCTATCTCATTTGCATTCTCATTTCATACATACGTATCCGGAAATACCGCATTGGTACTAAATTGAGATTTCTCAATTCGGACTTTATGATTGAAAGTTTCATGATTACTTTACTTTCTCAATCATAAATCAAGAAATAATTCGCACGGACATATAAATATCTACTCGGGCTTGAGGGTTGGGGCTGGGCTGTAGCAGTGTAGATCCTTCCTTGCCTTATCGGATATTTTTGTTTCCCTGATCCGCTAAGAGTTTAGTGGGAGGGGTGGACTTCTCGTCTTGGAAGATTTGAAATTGAGAATTGGGGAAACTATTGAGTGATAGTTCTAATTCATGTGGGAATTTGAAATGACATTGATCGATTATATTGGTGTGGTAAGTCGTGAAGAGAGGTGATTTTTTCTGTAAATGTCTGTCTTGGCCCATTGCTACTTCAGATTCGGATCACAACTGAATGGCCACAATGATACAACATGATATGATGGCCATGCATGCAACGCCCCGTTATCATCAAGTCAAAGTCCACCTACCCATGACCTGCAAATCTCTAAGATCGACTTTTAGTGCCGCATTAGTCGGCGTTCACTGCACCTGCCATTGATACAATAAAACGTCATCAAGCCGCCACTAACCTTGAATTGTTCAAAGTCGATATATTTTCCCACGGGTTGATTGTTTAGCCAACGTCCGCGCAACTACGAGATGCGGGCGATTAGTTCCTCCTTGCATTGCGTTGCTAAGACGAATCTGGGCCACCAGCGTGGATCTTCAAGTCGGCAGAGCTATAATAATGGCAACGAGCTTCCTTAACCTTCAGCTAAGTTTTGCAACATTTTTCACTGTTCGAAAATCTCATCATGTTCATATTTGAGTATTGTTTCGTAAGCTAGAGCTGCGCAAAGTGGTTCGATTCAATCACAGCTTTAACAAAAAGCTATGTGAGTGTGACGATCTGTCGGTATGTCTTCTTCGAGTGAAGCTTTCCCGGTTGCGGGAACTTACACATTTGTCTAACATAGTGCCTACTACAGATAACAATCAGAATGAATCCAGTAACTAATAGTAAAACTCCTCCACCGCGTTTGGTGGACATCAACCCCCTGAGGCCTCAGTCTATGGGAACGCCATCATCTATCAATCCTACACTGTTATCGCGCCGCCGGACGAGTAGATCTCATAATCATGGCACAATTGATACCGTGCCAGAATTGAGAAGATTTAACAGTTCAGGTACCAAGTCAAGTGGAAGAACGAGACCTCGTCAAACGACTAGTCAAAGCTATGGATCTTTGGATACAACATCACCTCGACGTGAAAGAGAAACCATGAAAGATTTATCCGAGTTCCTCATGTCTTATGATCCCCCGGCGCATAATCTAGTTGCTCTCCCACAAAATGCCCCGAGAAAAAAGTTTGGTCTTCTCCGAAGGAAACAAAAGAAAGAATTGAAGTCTAATCAGTTCTTGAAACTCCCCGATACTGCTATTGCTGCCAAAACTCATCAGGGCGTGCAGTATATAGCAATTTCGATACCGCTAGAACATGATTACCTGGGGAGATTTCCAACGCCTCCTGAGATGACTTCAAATTTGACACAGGTTCCAACACCGGATAGAAGCCCTGTTGTTATCCCCAAGCCAGGCTACAATGTTGGAGATTCTTCTACGCCTCCACCGGAACTTCCTGTACTTAATAGGACCACTTCAATCTCCAATAGGAATACTTGGGGTCCAGGCACTTTAACGAAAGTAGTTACAAAACCAGGGTCGGAAGAGGTGATGTTGCAAAATGGATACATTCATCGAACCAGTCAAGTGTATACCCCTAATGGGAGTATTTACTACGATGCTCCAGAATCCCGACCTCGACCGCATTCATCAAAAGCATTTTCCTCGCCCGGTCCCTCATTCAAAATAGCTCCAACAGATAATCCTCGAGCAAATTCCTTCAATTCCGTCAACCGCCCAATACTCTGGAGCAACAGATCCGACGGCCCCTTGCGAGTAATAAACAGAACACCATCTCCTGATATCAAGCCGAATCATCAGACTCACAAAGTGATCAAATCTATATCCACTATTCATAGCATCGCAGCTACAGGAACAAATATCAGGCACTTGCTAAAGTCTACACCAGATAGTTTTAATACGAACTCCTCAGCGCAAGCAGTGTTTGGAACGGCTGAGACGGTTGATCTGCAGAGTTTCAGAGGGACTCCAAGGCCTTCGATTGCTTCACCGGGGAGTGAAAATATTATCCAGTTCCCTGCGGCTAGTGCGGTGGAGGCAGAAGGTCAATCTAGGAATCAAGCGACTGCTCCCACCGAAATTGCATCACCAATAAGTCCACAATTTGGCAGTAATGAGAAACGAGCAGATCAAGCAACACATCAGAGCCGCCGCGAGAGAGTACGAGCAAAGAAGGAAAAAGACTTGGCCTCTATTCGCTCAAGAAACTCGAGTGTGGGTCACACAAATATAAATACAAATACTAATACAAACAGGGCATCTGTTCAATCCGTTCCAGAAAATTCTTTCATCGAAGCCGAACATTTGTCTCCCCTATTTTCAAATCCAACATTCGGACCACCAAACCGCACCCTGAAACGCCTCGCCCCAAACATGAATGGATTGTCTACAACTCGTATAATGCTCGTCGCTGACTCCCCACCTTATATTGGAGAATTCAGACAGTGTGATTTCGGAGCACGTCCCATTTCGCCTGCTTTAACGATGAAATCGCCTTCGAGACTCCCAAGACCTACGTTTGATTCAACAACCTCTTTTTATCGAGTTGATAGTGAGGAATCAGCTTATGCACATCAGTCTACTCAAACTATTTTGAGTCATACCATACCTTTGGCGTCGACGACATGGTTAGGGAAGGAAAGGGACGGGAGGAAGAGTAGTGATGGGTTTGGTTATGGACGCATGGATCTCTGTTCTGATGAAGATTTGAAGTATTTGAATGGGGATGTACATGGGAAGATGGATAGAGACATGAGTATGAATATGGAGAGAAGAAGCACGGGAGAAATAGGAACAAGTCTAAGATCGACGAGTTTGAAAGAAAAAGAATTGGACGTGCGAATGAGGATTGTGGAGAGACATACGGATGTGCTTTTGAGGACGTTGGGAGGGATTGCGAAGAGTTTTGATGGGTTGGGGGCGGTGGGGAGATTGAGGTGGGAGGAGGTGAATGGGAGGGGTGGGGTGGGAATGGGGTCGAGGTCGAGTGTTATTGGGATGGGGGGGAGTGATGGGGAGAGAGGCAATAGGATGGCGAGTGAGGGGAAGGGGAATAGGAGGAGAGCTAATACGACGGGGATGGGGATGCAGAATAGGGATAGGGATACGGATATAGATTTGTTGATGAGGGAGATTCGGATGGCGGCTCCGAGGGTTAGTGAGGAGAGTTCGCGAGAGAGGAGAGGATGAGTGAGTAATGGACTTGGAGTGTTTCTTTAAGGGAAAGAAAGGAAAGGGGGAGATGTTGTAGTATTAATTGAATTTATACTACCTTTGTTCAATAACTATCTAATACTCAATCCTTTTTCACTTCCAATCACGTTGTCAATCCCTTACTTATATACTTTCTCTCTTTTCCCTCCTCCTCCTCCTCCTCCTCCCCTCCTCCTCAAAAAATCCACTTTCCTTAAGAATACCACAAGAAAAGTAACATCCATAACCCCTCCAACATCACAATACCTAAACACACATCATCCAACATCACCACATCACCACATCTACACAACTAAATACCTATCTACTCCGAAAAAAACAGAGTATACATACTACCAATTTAAACCCCTTATCACTTTTCCTATATCTATCATCTATCCATCCATCCATCCATCTCACATATAAATAAATAAACATCCACTCTACTCTCCTCTCCTCTATCATTTTAACCTCTATCCCTAATTCAAATAAACATATCCTCATCCTACATATCAAAGAACCCTCCGCAATTCTTCTACTTTTCTTCTCCTCGCATCCCGTAACAAGCACTCCTTTCTTTTCTTCTCATTTGCTCTTTTTCCTCGACAGTCCATTCATTTTCTCTGAATACAAGTCCCTAAACATAATATCCCTAAACATAATATCCCTAAACATAATATCCCTAAACATAATATCCCTAAACATAATATCCCTAAACATAATATCCCGAAATATAAATTTATCATCTAAGCACTCTCTCTCTCTCTCTCCCTCTATCTCTCCATTCTAATAAATATTAAAAACTCAAAGAAATAATAACCTCCCTCGGGATTTGAGCTTCTTTGTAATTGTAATTGTTGTATGTGTGTGTGTGTGTGTTTACTTTGTTATTTAATATTCGTTATAGAGTTTGTGTTTCTGTTTTGTTTATATATGTATATATGTATATATATATACCTAGTAGTTACTTGGAGATTTGCTTGGGAATGGAGGTTGAATGGATGTGATGTGATTTGATTTTATTTAATTGAGGAAGATGTTTAGTAAGATTTCCAGTAAGATACTTCCTCAGAAGGAAAAAAGATGTAATTTCGAGGGTAGAAATAGGAAATAGAATATAGAGAGGAGAAAGTAAAGAAAGAAAGAAATGGTAGAGGATTTTAGTATATTTATATATCGAGCTTTGTTTTGCGAAGAGAGGGAAAAGGAGGATCGAAGAGGTAAATACTGAAATGATGATGTAGGGATGGGATAACAGTGGGGAGGAGAGGGAAGAAGTATTAAGATCATTGAAGTGGGAAGGATGTTTTGTGTTGAAGATTATGGGGATAGTGCTATGTATTTTGGAAGTAGATGGAGAAGATATGACTTTTTATTAGTATCTCGCTGTGTAGATGGTAGAGACAGTTTTTATATGAAGGAAAATCTAAAGGAATAATGGTCAATCGAATTCATACCTACAAAATTGCCATATTAATAAGTTCGTGATGAATTTTTTACCTTCAGTTTGAAACTCACAACTCACACATCACAATCAAAAAGCAAGACATGTGTAGTAATATAATGTATCATAATCATTAAACCTCTCCTTCCTCTCTCATCTTCAGTACATGCAAGCGCGTGCGCAAGCAAAACCATGCATAAACTCATCTCCACCTTCCCACCCATCCACCATCCATAATTAAGAGAAAAGAAACCGGGTATCGAGTCGAATCGGAAAAAACAAAAATAGCTCTCCTCTCTCTCTCCCTCTGCCATCCATCCCATCCCACCCCGTCCATCCATCGTCCATCAAACACCTCAGGTATCATAAAGCAAACTCGCAACATCGCATGCACTACTCCTTCCCCCATCTCATCTCCTCAACTGTAGGTTGATTGGTCATGTTGAGAGATGGTGAATACTAGAAGGTACCCCTCGCGCAAAGGCAAGGGACCCTTCTAGACATGACTTGTCGTACGTCTACCTCTTCTCCGACCGCCGCAGCTTCCGCAAGTCAAGCAGGAGATGAGGACATCGAAGAAAGCGACGATGGCGTTGATGATACCGGTGAGGATGGCTCCGATTCCGTTGACGACGGCCATGAGACCAGCACCGATGGCGCGGAACATGCCAGTGATCTAGAGAGGAGGTTAGTTTATATTCTTTTGTTTTGGAGGGGGAGTTGGCATGATTTGTTGATGAGATCGATAGATCTCAAATCAACGAAACTCAAGACCGTGGGGAATGGAGAATGGTAGAGACATACACAAGAAACAACGGCTCCCATTTTGATTGATTTGTGTTTGTACTTTGTGTAGTAGATTTGTGTGTGTGTGTGTGTGTTGTTGATTGAAACTCAAGAGTATCTCGAGATTGATATTTGTTTGTTTGTTTGTTTGTTTGTTGATAGAGTAGAATCGATGGATTGGATTGTATGTTTGTATGATGTAGAGAGAGAGAAAAAGAAAACCGAAATAATGAGAAAGATGGCACTCTATATATTTGATTCCCTCACCACCTCTCCAAAACCTGCCGTCCCATCCTTTCCAATCAGATGATCCCATAGTAGCGTCATACCATAATAACAGTACCTACCCTACCTGCCCTACCTAGTCATGGAATTAAATCCGGTCCAAGACCTGTCAATATTAGGTCAAACAGGTACTGCACCATTTGCCCAGTACCGTACCCGCTTGCTCTGTGCCCTGCCCTGCCTTGCCTTGCCCGGGAATTAAAATTGTCCAAAAAATGATATCTGAGTGACGTCACCATCAGAAATTTAGTCGCATCAGATTTTCTTTATTCACTCTTCCTCTCACACTTACCGATGCTAACCTGGTTATTTTCCTAATCCCTTGCTTCCTCAATCCCCTTTGCCTTACCCAAAGAAGAATAACTCATTCCATCCTCCTACTCTCATTGGATACAATTGGAGTCGGAAGGAATCACATACCAACGTCTCGCATTTTTGTTAGTTTTTCGACTTGAATCAAAATCAAGGCATGGCGTATGAACAAGTCTCCGTTTTAGGTATGCCACGGCGCTGATTACGGGGATTAGTTCCCGTGATAGGGCCTAGAGTGGTAATTGTGGCGCGCTTGATGGAACTAGTGATGTCAGCCACTGTGGCGTTGGCTATCTTGATGTCACTAGCCACATGAGCGGATGCATTTTAAAGTTTTTTAAGTTTGAGGGTGATGTTACTGGAGGGGAATAAGAGGAGATTGTAGATCTGATATGGAACTTTTGCATTTGATTTTTCTTATCTGACTCGGTTCCTTGAGATGATGCTGCAACTGCAATGGAATTCGGATAAAGGAAGGATGTGATGAATGGGTCAATGGATGGATGAATGAAGATTATCGAGATCAACGATCCTTTCATTGCTCTCTCTGTTTCTTACTTAATTGACTGACCTATGATGACGTAGTTCCCCAGACGAGACTAGACCTGGAAATTATGAGAATTGACCAGATGAACCCATTAATGCCAACAAGGCCAACAAGGCCATACCCGACTCCTTCTTGATCAGTGCAGTGTTTCTTCTTAACTCACACTTCTTATTACATTCTCTCCATTCTCTCACCCAATAAGAAAAAGGTCAGGAAAAAGAAATCAAACATGGAGATTGAAAATTTCTTGGATCCACACCACAGTGACCACACACTTTCGTTTTCGTGAAGCGTGAATCGTGATGCGAGGTTATCTCACCTCATGGCTGGCAGCTGAGGAAGCGGCACATTTCTCCGATGTTTTGATTACATGGTAATTCGTACTACATGTGTATGTGCATGTATATATCTGGTAGGTGAGGAGGAAATGACATTTTACTTGTATGTGATCTATATGTGGTCACCTATACGCATCCAAGGCATTCTTCCTGGTCAGTAATCTCATTTTTGAAATCTAGATTTCCTCATACCGGGGTAGGATACAATCCATCACCAACTTCTCGACATCCAGCCCTTTGTCAGACACATACAGTACTATACATTCATTTCTGCCCAAAACTACACACATCTATTATGTGTAGACTTCTTCTATCACGAATAAATGCATACGATATGTACAAGAATCCATATTCATCCATCTTCATCTTCACTCATCACATCCATTTCAAAATCAACGATAGCATAACCCAACTCCCGATCCTTAATACCAAGATCCATGTATGTACGATATTTCGGGATATAAATGTCATACTACATATATTCTTACAATCATACATACATGATACATGTAACAGTGACAGTCTACATATAATTTTAATGGAGAAAAACGTTGTGACAGGTGGAGAACCGAACGAACGGGGGCTTGGATCATCAGATAACGTCTAGTTCATCTTGTTGGTGCTTCGATTCGAATTGAGACATGGTCGGTGGTGCTAGTGTTTGGAATCCACTTGTACAAAGCTTGGTTTTTGAAGCGCTGGTGGCCTGGTATTTATGATGGATTTGTTCGTATTCAATGATGTATGTTCAGAATCTAGATTGTGTATAGTATGCGAAACGTTCGTCGGTTATGGTATCTAATTGGCTAGTTAGCCTTTTTGTGTTGCGCCAGAACTCATGGCCACGCATGCGATGGGCATTATTTTCTAAATACATTGAACAGATAGTTTATCTGAATATATCCAATGCCACATTATTCGAGTACACTTTTATTGAAGAATCGATGGATTTGTCTTCCAGCCTCCTTCCCAACCACCGGCTCTAATTCCTCCAAATCGGCATTAGCCACCTCCTTAATACTCCCTAACTCCATTACTAGATTACTCAGATTCTTCCCCGTAACTCCAGGCACCACTCTTAACATATCCTGAGGTTCCCGATTAAATACTTGATCCTCCGCACTTGCACCACCTTCAAGTCCAATCTTCACAGCTTGTATAGGATCTGGCTCGGGTTCTTGTGTCTTGAGATTTTCGAATATCTCGGCAGTTTGATATGGACTAGAACTCCAGATAATGCGGAGTCTAGGGAATGCAAGAGTGAGAAGCACAAGTTTGGATTGGAGATCGGACGATGCATTTGCGGCTGATACGGATGATAAAGAGCCTGAGAGATCAGCAAACGGTTCAAGGGTGAAAGATTTGCCTTGGTCGAACTCAATGAGTAACATTGGTGACTTGTAGTGTTCGAGCATAGTTTCGGCTTGATTATACAAACGGCCATCTTTGAACGATGAGATCAAATCCTTGATTGATTTACGCTCCACACATATGTTGGGAGAAAGGACATAGTCTCCGACGGTAAGCATACAGGGCACTACGACCATGCTTCGGCCGTGAAGTAAAGATGGAAGTGAGGAGCGGAATTCCCGAACATCAACTACCACCCGCGGGGGCTGGGCTGTAGCTGCCAAGCGTCCTCCACCAGCAATACGTGTATTTATGGTACGGAGGAAAACTTCTTGCGGATCTTCGATGCCATGCGCGTCAAGAGTCAGTACAACAGACATGTTAGCCTTTTCCTTTATAAGTTTGGTAAAGGCGTCTTTTTCTCGGCGAGTGGATGACAGGTAGCGTTGTTCCTCTACCGACCCGCCATAATAAAGGAAGTATACTCGGACGTTTCGATCATTATGTGAAGAGCGATAAACCTCTACCCTACGAACAAAAGATGTGTCGGGTTCATACATGATGATATACCGCGGCTTTACTTCTTCGAGAATATGCTCATCCATATCCCCGTCATACGCGTGAACTACCACAAGATCCTTCATCTCATAAAGCTGATAGTAATCTTCCATATCATCCAAAGGATCGGCAATGACTTCTTCTTTCTGCAATTCCTCCACTTCTGTTGGCTTTATTTCTGACATTAATTCAGCAACCTCAAGGGGTTTATCTTCCGCAGCTTGTAGACTGCCATTGGTGGCACGTGTGGATCCTGAGCTCGAGGCGCCCCCTCTCAATCTCCTCCTTTTGTTTGCTGGAGCTTTACCTCGGGAGCTGTTCGTAATACTGTTGGCGTTGCTAATACCATTTAGTGCGTTTTGATTCTCATTGAAAAGAGCCGCGCTAATTTTCGCGAACTTCTTCTTCCACTCTAAGTAGCTGCGCAATTTTCGCCTCATCATGATTTCTGCTGATGGCTCTTGATCTTCATCCTCATCATCTTCGATTGTTTCCGCGTGGGCGTGCATACTTTGAAGGTACTCTCGCAATTGCCAACATTGAGCCGAATCTGTGCACATTATCAAGATCGTGCCATTAGAGTCATCCAATGGCACGGGATTGAAGTAGAGATCTCTATCAATTTCATCTAGCACTTCAGCAAGCACTGACCATTTTGGCTGTTCCTCCAACACAGGTTTCAGAGAATCCACATCATCCGTTCGTGTAGCCTTGCCTGTGTATACCCTTCTTTTCGCTGTATCAAATACGGTATGTGCTGCATCAAGGAATAGCCAAGGAGATTGATTTTGCCGTGTAGACCCAGCAGGAGGCTGATGCGCAGCAAGAATCATATCTAAATGACGATTGAATGAGACCGCATCATATGTTAGAAGAGAATGTAGCATCCCTCTCAGGACAGTCAAGTCGTTGACAATCTGTTTTGTCTTCCAGCTGACTCGATGCCATACTGGATCAAGCTGCCTGCGGATGACCATATCAAATTGCTTGTGTAGAGCACTATCAACGTTCCAATCGTCCATCTCTAACCCAGAGTTCGATTTCTTCAATTCACCAATACTAACCTCTACACATTCCATTATGGCATTTTGGATATCTCGCATGGAGTCAGACATCGAAACCTCCAGTTCAATAACCTCGGCTTTTTTCTTGCCTTCCAAAGCTTGAGCAACATTTATATGGAATCTTGGCCATATTGATACGTTGCGTAGGAATAGATTTCGCATCATAGTGGACAATGGCGAAAATCCAGTCGTAAATGGTTCTGGATTGTCCGAAAAGGCTTTGAGAAATCCAGCCTTATTTTTCTGTCTGTATATCCGAAGTATGAAGGCCTCCAGTGATGTAGCTACAACCTTATCTGCATGTAGCACTACCACGCCAGTGATTGTCTCGGTGTTTAATAGATTGGTCAAAAGATCGACAACAAGAATTCTAGATGTAATGCTAAATATTCCTCCTTGTGCATACATCTTTTCTCTTGTGCCGACACTCATGAGATCCGTGTTGACGACAGAAAGACCTCGCGCTCTAGGAGCCATGCTGATAGCAGCATGCTCTGCCAGTGCTTCTCCAATCCATCCATTCTCTCGATCATCTGCGCCAACCAGTATTATTAGGTTGTTTCCAGCTGCATCATATGAATGGAGGAGGTTCGTAACAAGTCTCAAGAGGCCAAGGCCGCGAGCAAGAACGACAAGCTCATCTTTTTGTCGAAGCTCTTGGAATATCTCTTGTTGATATTTCTGCAATTCTCATTAAGATATCATTCATACGAAGGAAGATTGAATTTACCAGTGGCAGTGACAGCTTCACGGGTTGTTGTTCGCCGTTTGATGAAGACATCTTGGAGGTAGCATGACGCGTTGACCAATTGAAGGATAACGCGAACCACACACGATGTCAGAAGTAGTTTTCAGTATACAGTATATCCGTATCTACCCACGTCAAATGTCTCAGACGGTCTTTTTTAGGCAAAGACTTAGGCTGATCTGATCTTAATGGTTCATTCAATATGCTCAAAATCTTGATCTTATCACGACCATTGTTCGAGGAATCATAGTTATTGGTAGTTGAAGTTAGCGACAAAGCTAGAGAGAGCTTTATCCCGTGGTCTTCGAGTTACGCCTGCCTACGTCATGAGGGGAAATATGGCTTATATAGAAGAGAGAATGAGGGAATCCTGTTGATGAGAAGCTCTCGTCTTTATACTATCTAACTCTACAAACTACGAATACACGAATCTTTTCAAAGTCAAATAATATAATCAAACAACCACCCTACATCATGCCTGCCGGTCCAGACGAAACTCACCACCACAAAGCTGGTGAAGTAACTGAGCACGTTATGAAGAACTCATCCTCAAAGACCGATAACAATGCTAGCGACCATCCCCTCCATAACCAAGGCGAAGTAAAGGGAGAGAAAGTCCAATTCCGTCATCACGAGGCAAACCCAGGACCTGTTGTCCCTCAGAGTATGCCGGAGCAAGAGGGATCCAAGGCGGACCGTGAAGCAAAGACGGCTGCTTTGAACGAGTAAAGCTCTTCGGTATGTCTGTCATTAACCTACCCGAAAGTCTATACTGATTCAACAGACTTTAAAAAACCTTACACGAATCGCACGATCACTCCGAACGTAATGTTAATGAAGCAAGAACTCATGGATGGCTGGCGTTGGAAAGGGTGGAATGGTTAAGGAAACGGATGATAGTGAACATAATGTGGTACATATCTGATTAGCAAAGACGACCAACACGAAATAAACTTCCGTCTTTCTCAAACATGCATATTGATGTGAGTGGTGTGCTATGTATGTTGTCGTCCTCATACTCGTACCAGAGTGATTAATCCCCATCTCATTGTAAGTCGATTGTCATGCAGTACAGATGCACCGATGAGTCGTTGGTAGTTGTATAAGACTAAGATTTTGCCTGTTAAAATATCAATCTACAACATAAATTATGATATTCTCATGGAATTCTCGAAAATAACATAGATGCCTATGACCAGTACGCGCGTTACAATAGTAATCCATGGATGTGAAAGATGTTCGCATTCGTACTTTCGTAAGAGGTAATGCGATGTGGAATTGTGAGATGCCCATTCGTTTCTCTGAGATTCGGAACACTCTGTGGCTTCGCCCCAACCAGTGGCTGAATCACTTGGCATTTTTGTCGTAGCAGCATTACCCATACACACATACGGAGTACGACAATCTACATCTGTGCCCAACTTGACATTGACCGTTTCAACCATTGTGAATCAGCACATAGTCGCTGCGGAATTTGGCTACCTAACAGACCAGTATCATTCGCTTTACTTTTTGGTCCAATTCCCTACTTCGAACCATTGCGATAGGAAAAGAATCATCGCACAATCATCGCTTCTTTCCAATGCTTCTAAGAAGTGTGAGAAGTGCGACCAACACGAGAGCAATCTCCCACACGACCGAACCTCATTTCCAAAAGCCCTACGAAGATACATATTATAGGAGAAAGTCCGATACGATATAAAATAGAATATTCTATCGGGGCCGATAGATATTCAATAAGCCCGCAAAATGCCTTCCATATTGTCAGACGATGATAAAGAGACGGTCAAACGCATGGTACCAAAGGCCTCGAACAAAATACAGGCAGTAGCAGTCGCCCGTCTATATATTGCTTATCCCGATCGTCACAAATGGACATACACTGGTCTACAAGGAGCGGCAGTTCTTGCGAATGATCTTGTCGGAAATACCTACTGGATAAAACTTGTCGATATCTCGGTCAGTGGCTCACCTCTATACTATCCCGGCAGTACTTCATCAATGATCAAAGCTAACTTTCGTGTTATAGTCTACGAATAAAGGCGTCATATGGGACCAAGAGATATATGATACTTGGTCATATAACCAAGATCGGACATTCTTTCATACCTTCGAAACAGAAGAATGTTTGGCTGGATTGTCCTTCGTAGACGAGAAGGAAGCCAAAACCTTCATGAAAAAGATGAATGATCGAGAAAAGAATGCTAGTAAAGCTACAAAGGCCAATCCTTTTGGAGGCGCTGCGCCGGCTCATAAACACAGTCTCCTCGGTGGATTTTTCGGTGGACACAGACATTCTTCTGCTCCATCGATACAACCTACTCCCCCCGATTCGCCTAGTTACGTACTCCCACCTTCACAACCGGCGCATACATCGCAGAACCACAGGCACTCGGGTGGAAGCTTCAGGACAGGGCAGGCCGAATACGCAGCTTTGGAAGCGATCGATCCTCATTGGCGAGAAACATGGGGCGAGGACTTGAGAGAAATGGGTATTACAGACGACATAATCAGGGATAATCAGGATTTTATTGCAGACTATATTCGAGAAAAGCAAGCTCAACAAGTTATAACACCTACGCCTAGTGGTATCGAAAATCAAAGAAATAAAGCCCCTCCTCCACCTCCACCTCCAGCAGCACCTCGAACCCGTTCCGATAGTCCTCAGAGTTCTACTGCTGGTCATGGACGAGGTGCACCACCTCCACCTCCTGCACCAAGGCGATCCAAAGCAGATATTGCTCGAGAGCCAACACCACCAAGAGAGCCTTCACCACCCAGGGGTCCCCCTCCCCCTAGGTTTGCAGCTCCACCGCCATTCGCAGATGCTGGAAAATTTGCGCATACCAATGATAGAGCACCTTCTCGAGCACATGCTTCTTCTAATCCAGGGCCACCCCCACCACCTAGGCCTGCGAAAACCCCTATCGAAGATTACGAACCAGGGGAATCAGGTTCGAGGTTTGGAGTTCCTCCTCCTTTCACGGGAACAAGAATTACGGCACCACCTCCTACCCCACAACGAGGTCCTGTTCCACCCCCGCCTCCTAGAGATATCCATCAATCACATAGTAGTCATGCTATACCGCCTGCACACATTCCTCCTCCGCCTTTACCGCCCAAAACTCCAGCGTCTCCGGGTGCTCCCCCCTTGCCTCCTGCTTCTACTCGCCCTGTACCTTTACCTCCGAGAGATACTGCACCACCTCCACCTCCTTTGCCTCAAATGAGCGCCCCACCTCCACCTCCTTTACCGCAATCCGCTGCACCACCTATTCCATCATCTGCTGCTCCTCCACCTCCCCCACCACCTGGACCACCCCCAGCATTTGGAGGACCACCTCCCCCTCCACCTCCACCTATGCCATCATTTGGCGGTCCTCCACCACCTCCACCTCCTCCAGGAAATGGACCTCCAGCTCCTCCACCTCCACCACCACCTCCAAATCGCGATTCTGGCCATGCTTCGGGTGCTCCACCGCCACCTAAACCTACTGGTGATCGTGCAGACCTAATGGCAAACATTCAAAAGGCCGGTGGTATTGGAGCTCTCAAAAAAGTTGATCGATCGCAAATTAGAGACAGAAGTGCTGCTGCCGTTCCTGGTGCAGACACTGGACCTGCGGGTAGTGGACTTCCTCCAGCTGGTGCATCTTCAGGGGGCGGAGGCGGATTGGCGGATGCATTAGCAGCTGCTTTGAATAAGAGAAAGCAGAAAGTTAGTGCTAGTGGTGAGTTTTCATTTCATAATCTTAGAGTTTGTATCCTAGGCTAACATTTTGATCAGATGACGAAGCGGAAGATGATGATTGGTAGATGTGATGATGTGATTAGTTGTTTAGTTTTGTAGAGGAATGAAGTCAAAAGGGGGCGAACTTTGTAGTTTATTGAGCGTTTACTTAGTCAAGTAAAGAAGAGACGTTCAGTCAAAGCCCTATTAGTCGGAATTGGCTGCTGTAAAGTAACGTGGTTGGCTTAAGAGATACGGGTAACTCGAGTACAAGGAGTTTTAGTAGTTAAATCAATCGAAAACATTAAAAATTGTAAATTAAAGTTTGTGTATGTCGAAATTTTGTATGCACCGTGGTCAAACCTTGAAGTGATGCATTCAATTCGGCGCAAATCACAGATGATGCATTCAAGATAAAATAAATAGACTATATCATTATTCGGATAGCCTTCAGTCTATGCTACGAAGATTGAAATTAAGAGTCCTGGTCAATACATGCATAACGTCTCTCCCACTATACAAGTATCGCCAGTCGAATGAAGCACTAGAAGGAAAAATGCCTGTCGAGGTTCTCGGGATCCAGCGAGTGAAACAGTAACCAGATCCAACGAGATTGAGAGAGAAGACAGTCTTTCTTTCCATCCCCCTAACCACCACTATCAATCGTGGAGGGGAGCCACTAACCCCCAAAACATTTTAGATATCATCAATATCAATCTCCTTACCCTTTCCTCCTTCAGCAGCATCATCAGAATCACTGCCACTATCTCTGTCGTCATCGAACTCGAAGTTGCAATCTCCGTCTTCGCCTTGTCCGTAGGTATCGGTCTCGTTGATCTTTGCGCTCTCGGGTAATTCTCCGTAGGCCTTCAAACTTCTGGCTTCGTCGGCGCTGTACTTGAGAATGACATCTCCCTTCTCATCTTGGTAATCACGGAGAGAAAGGAGAATGATATCTCCTTGGTTGATCCAGACCTTCTTTCTGAGCTTTCCACGGATATGTGCAAGACGTCTCGTACCGTCAAAGCAGAGAGCTTCTAGACGACCGTTTCCGAGCATCTTAATAACTTGGGCATATTCTGCAGAAACTCGTTAGTTGGTCATTTGCGGAGTAAATTGACTCAAAGGACAAGGAGCGGTAAAGGAGAAGTAAAGGTAGATAGCGGTTGCAAATAGTAGCCTTAGGGAGTAAGGAATATGTACCTTGACCTTCTTCCTTGAAGGTTAATTCACGCTTCTCGTTATCGTTCTCGTTCTTTCCACGACGCCTGTTCTTTCCTCCCTATTTTTCGCAACTGTGTCAGCCTAGATCAAGATAGTGGGGTGGAATATTTCCAATAAAAAATGCGACAATGTCTTACCTTTCCCTTATTCTTAGGCATGTTTGCTGTTGTTTTACCTTACTGTTGATTCTTGGATTTCGGTTTGAAGAGTAGTTGTGGTTTGCGGAATTGTTGTTTTGGATGCGGTGTTGGAACAAGATTAATGAAGAAGGAAGAAGAAGGCGATGAAGTAGCAAACAATAATTTATTTCTGGGCTGGAGTAGTGTCATAAATTGTGGTTCACTGGTGGTGGGGTCTTGGCGCACGCTAAAGAGATCCGGTCCGACCAAATTGATGAATTCGCTTTGTTACGGCTCCATTGTCATTGATCGAGACCCTTATTTTCAAAAAAAAAAAATTACAATGTTCAACACATCCATTGGTTTACAAGGTTATTGTCTACTGTTACAAAAACAACAAACAGTATGGACTAGTAGCCAATGATTCTGACGCACACTACCCTCACCTCAAGACCATTCCAATCCTCCGCTGGAGATGGCTGCTAGAGCGACTGGAACAGCTGCACTTGCTGTAGAATCGAAATTCTCCCAGCTGATACGTTCCGGTCAACTGAAATCAATAGATGCTCTAGCTTATGGATCATTCAAAGGTATCACAGGGGACGATCACTGTTTTTCTTATAAGATTTCCGCTCACCACGCCTATGGCTCTCATCAAGCTCCAGCGGTATCAAAAACCTACAACCCAGACCACTATAACATTCAGCACCTTTTGGTCAACAAGGCCTCGCCTTTGTGGCTCTCTGTATTTTGTGCGAAAGTTCATGGAGGAAACAAGAAAGTTATACGAACCCATATGGTACGGAGGATCAGAACTGCAATTAGGGAAGCCTTGAAGAACCAAGATTATGACTTGTCTGGAAAAAGGATATCCAACAGTATACAAAGGGGTAGCAAGGGCGAGGACCTAGTTGGCACGATTATAATATCTGCCAAAGACAAGGCCTTGACCGCAAAGATGGATGTTTTACAAAATCAAGCGGAGATGGCTGTGACCGCATTAATACGAAAGGTCAAGCTGGAGCGTGAGGCGCGACATAACAATTCAAATCAAAATCCCAGCAGACAGACTAAGGGCATGCCCATTGAAGTGAAAAGGGTCCAGATGAAAAATAGGGCGAAGGAAAAGGAGAGCGGTACAACAGTGAACTTACCAAAGAAGAAGAAAAACACCAAGAATAAGGTATTTGGTGGAACAGTCTATCAAAAGTGATGGAAAATAATGCCAAATAATAAATAGAAAAAAATCTTAGAAGCTACCACGTTTTGATAGCCAGACTATCTAGCCTTCCCAAATTATTCAAAAGTTATAAAATATAGACGTTGCATTTGCTATCACACATACCATAGTCATCCATAGTATCTTTAAAGAAGTTCACACCAGAAATGTTTCATCAATTTGCGGCTGTGCCAGATCCAACCAATTAGCGCCGCCTGAACACATGCTGGAGCTCTCAAGCTAATCTGGGACGATCGCAATCGCGAAGCTGTCGCAACGTATCTTAAAGAATTCCATTCCCTTTTGGCACATTAAAAGGAGTATCCGCCATGTTGATTTCACTCACCGTGGGTAAAGTCGATGCCGGAGTGGCCGTCTTATTAACTCAAGATAAACGACTCGTAAGTGATCATCTCAACATTGATTCAATCAACTGCACATTGACTACATATACACAACTTCGTCATTGCACATGCTACTTCCCCCAACCTCCATAACTGACAATACCCCTCCCAGATTGAATTTCCATCTATTCTCCTTCCACCCAACATCACATCCGGTAGCATCGTCGATATCACCGTTGCACGAAACCTCGTCTCGGAAGAAAAATCCCAAAAATCATTCGTCGCTCTCCAAGATTCTATCTTCAATTCATTTGGTGCATCAGAACCGTCTGCTCCAGTCCTTCGCTGTCGCAACGCAACTCAGACTTCTGTCGTTTTAGAATGGGATCATATTGAGTTAGCAACCGCAGATGTTATCTCACTCTCCCTCTTCCGCAATGGACAAAAGGCTGGAAACATCCCAAGGCCGAGTCAAATGCTGAGCACAAAGATCAGTGGTTTGGCTGTTGATACAGAATACACGTTTCACCTGGTATTAAGAACAAGTGCCGGGACGTTTAGTAGTGAGAAGGTGGTTGTAAAGACGCACAAAATGACGGATCTAAGTGGTATTACTGTCACGCCTGGTATTCTGCCCGCTTCATTGAGGGATAGTCTTGTCAAAGCAGTTGACAGGATTGGGGCGAAGATGGCAGATACTGTGAGAATCGACACAACACACTTTGTCACAACGGAAGGAAGAGGTATAGCTTGGGAGAAAGCCGTCGAGATGAATATTCCAGTTGTAAGGCCGGAATGGGTTGAGGGCTGTGAGAGAGGTGGAAGAATCGTGGGCGTTAGGCAATATTATCTTGATGCGGATCCAAAACAGAGACAAATAGTTTCGAACACGCCTCCAGCTCAACCAGCACAAGCTGAACCACCCAGAGAACAAGTCACCACTCCAACTACTTCACCACCACCCACAAACACAAACGGCACGAATGGTCAAACTGTCCCTCCTACTCCACCCGCAAAAGATACACCCAAACCAGAAAAGGAGGAGAGAGAGAAGGAAAAGGAAGAGGGTGATTCTAGTAGCGACTCGGGAGAAGTACAAGAAAAGCAAGAGACAGAAAAGGTAGCAGTGCCTGAAGAGCAGAAGTCTAGAGCTTCAGATGTAGAACAACAGAAACTTGCCCTCCGACCTGCAGCACCATTCGGAGTATCAGCAGATGACTTGACCAAATCGGGCGAGGAAAATACATCCGGGAATCAGACACCAGGAAATGCTAGCTTTCAAGACGTCGCGTTGTGATAGATGATCGAAGAATCTTTCATTTTGTTACTATTATATTATAATCAATGTTTTGGAATGGCTAGCAACAACAATTGTTGACGGGCATGGTGTTGGGATGGGAAGAGAGATTTATAGCATTTCTTCAGCGTTTTTAAAAAATGGTTTCTACAATGGCTTCAAGATATGAATATGTAATGAGCTCTCGCCATCATTGTGATCATAGATTCGCAATTTTCAATTGATCTCGCTAGAACATCAAGACCCCCCTTTTTAACATCGTGAATTCATCCAATGACTAATTCCTATTCGAACGTTCAAACTTAGAGTTTAATCTCTAGTTAGCCTAGCTACACCCCACACACCCGATCTAAAATGCAACATAGATGCATGGAAAGATCGACCGCCCGATGTCAATGGATCGTCCAGCCACACCCGCCACTTGTAAGGATGGCTCTTTTAAAATATATCAATGATGCTGTCATTGTCATTGCCATTGATGTCAAACAAAACGTCATGCTCCTCCCCTCTACATGATCTTTTTTCGTACTCACGCCAATCTTCGAAATCCTCCAATACATTATAATAAATTCAAAAAGGAGAAGAAATGGCATGGTCACTAGTTTGTCCCGCAAACCGAGGAATTGGTTTCTATTTAACTCGACATCTCCTTCAAAACACACAGCTTCCCGTCGTGGCAACGTCGAGGAAAGATATTGAAGGAGCGAAGAAATCTATTTTGGCAGACTTGGATGTTGATCCCAAGAGATTGACGGTATTAGAAGTCGATGTCACGAGTAAGTGATTCATTGTCTCACCAAATCACTCAAAAACAAATTCATATATTGGAAATCTTTAAATCCCAATACCAATATCCCCAAAATATAAAATCATAAAGTCCTAACACAATGCAGATGAATCCACCATCTCCTCGGCCGCAGAAAAATGTTCATCTCTCTTCCCCTCCTCATCCCACCATCTCCGTCTCGCCTTTTCCATCCCCGGTATTCTCTACCCTGAGAAGTCGCCCGCCCAATTAGACCAATCCCAAATCCAACACACCTTCGCCGTCAACACCATCGGCCCCCTCCTCCTCACCAAACACTTTTCCCCCTTCCTTCCCCCAAAACGTCTAGATCTCTCTTCCTCCCCCGACACCAAAAATCTTCCGCCCCACGCCCTCTGGCTCAACATGTCAGCTCGCGTAGGTTCCACCTCGGATAATGCACTCGGGGGATGGTATAGTTATCGCGCTTCGAAAGCAGCGGTGAATTCTCTAACGAAGACTTTTGATCTTTTCTTGAAAACGAGACATGGGGATAATGCGCTTGCTATTTCGTATCACCCGGGAACGGTAAAGACGGGCTTGTCAAAGGAGTTTTGGGGAGGTGTCAAGGAGGGCAAATTGTTTAGTCCCGAGTTTGCGGTTGAGAAGTTGTGGGATGTTGCAATGGCGAAGGGGATTGAGAGTAGAGGGCGTTGTTGGGATTGGAGGGGTGTCGAAATTTCCCCTTGAGAAAGTGTGAAGGGCAGTATGGGAGGTTGTCTGACCTTTATTGTGAAGCTAACCCCATTTCTTGATGCTGGTACATGGCAGTTTCTCACTCTTGTACTATTAATATTTCCTACGTTGTATGACTTACGACACTTCAGCATTGACTGTCACTTTGAAGCGTGAGCACCTTTTATTTTCATTGATGTATTCATATCTACCTTTTCATAGATTTTTCGAGCAAATATTATCTAAGCTAACATCACATATCCTTTCTTTTCATTTTCGTATGATTCGAGAATCGTAAACTCATCCACCGCAAGTACCTTTAAAATATCCATCAATATAGCAAACTGTAGCAACCATAGATCGTTGTCCGATCCCCTGTCAATACCTTTGATAACCGTTCAAATCCTCCATTAAACCCTTTTGAAACATAGCAAATATTCACTGATATCTCTCTCGTTCACCTGATCAAGAGACGTACACCCAGGTCTCGAGTTAGTGAATGCCACGACCTCGAATCCCTTCAAAACAGTACTACAAGCACGTCAACCAAATCTCCCCACCCAATCCATTTCCTCCCACATCCATACTCTCACCCTCATCTTGATCAACCCAGATTTTTCCCTTGGTAGCCAAAGATAATATGTGTAAGAACGCCTGAGCTGCTACAACATCACTATTCGTTGCCGGGTTGAACAAATCCTCGAATCCCACTTTCTTATCTCTCAACTGTCCGTCCTCATGAAAGGGCTCATCCTCGTCGTCATATTTTTCCGCGATGGATAGTCGGACAAATTCGAGGAAATTCTCACTTTCTGTATCCATGACGTCTCTAGCCCACTGGCTTTGTCCTGCTGTCTGTGTGTCCACATTGGCAGCGGGCCCGAATATTTCAAACTCGTTAGTCGACTCCCCGATTGCTCGTTCAAAAGCTCCCAAATTCGTTCCATCGGCACTTTCCCCATCCATATTGGTGCTGATATCATCACTTCTTCCATACATAATGACATCCTGCTGTGAAGAGAACTTCTCCAACTCACCTCCACCAGGCAAAATGCTACCTCTTCCCACCAAGGGACTGGCAGAGACTCCTCTGCTACCGAGTCTGAGTGAAGAAGCGGGGCGTAAACTTGAAGAGCGAGCTCTCTGACTGGCAGACAAGTTCCATGGCATCATCGCACTGCTTGGATATTCGGCTAATACCTCCGCTGCATCTCTACCCATCTCCACCTCGACCGGAGTACCGAATGGCTCGTCGTCAACTTGAATGGCAAAATCGTCGTCACCCCTGAAATTACGAGGAATTTCTTCGTCAGAAGAATGGCGAGATCGCTTATTAGGAATATTGTCTTCCTCTTCGAAGTCCGCTTGACGTTTAGAAGAACTCAACACTCGCCCTGTGATCTTTGCAAGAAGCGCATCACCCGAAAACATACTCAAAGGGCCCGGAAGCTTTGTTGAACCAATTCCGATTCCAACACCATTAAGACCATTTCCAATGACGAACATGAGAGCATTTTGCTTGGCCAATGTATTTCCCTTCGCTGTCAACTTTGCTGCTCGGAGACTGTCTTGAGTATCGACGTACTCTCTTTGCCAGACTGAAAGAACTGAATTCTTGAGTTCTTGGGTTTGGTCGATCGGAAGTTTTTTCTTGGTCTTAGGCTTTCTTGGTCGCGAAGGTGCGGCTGCGCTTTCAGATGAGGAATCTTCAGATTGTGAGAGCGACTGTTCGCGGCCCGGCAAAGAAGCAGGTAGAGCACCACTCATGAAGACTTCAAAAGGCTCCGCATCAGGTAACGCAATTCTGCCATCATCGTCTCCAAACACAATGTTCAAATCTCCATCTTCGTCGTATATACGAGCGTTGTCTCCAGCTTGTAGCCTAGCATCGTCATGTTGTTTGCGAACTCTTGCACTAGCAGCCGAGTCACTACCAAACCTCGGAGCCACACTTGTATTTGCTGCCCGTCGAGCGGCAATATCTTGAGCTGTTAGGTCTCTAATTTCTCCATTCTGATCAATCTCAAACAGATCATTGTCTTCGAACAAGATAACTTCGTCGTCAAATTCATCTCTCAGAGTGCCCGATCTCAGCGCGGAAGACTTTACAAATGGATCGTTTAGAGGAAGCTGGTAGTTGCCCGCACTGAGACTTGAGGAAATATTCAAGCCCATAATAGAAGCACCTTGGGAAGAGGAGATGGAGCTGCTTCGTCCGCGCTGTGACTGAATCGATAATGAAATTTGCGAATCCCGATTTTGCGACTGATGGGCATCAATGTCAAAATTGTAATCTAGAAATAATTCTGGAAGTGGAAGATCTGGATCAAAGGCAGGATCATCCACGAGCATCAATTGGGCTGGTCTTGTTTTCATGAAAGGTCAGCTAAGCCCATCATAAATTGGGGTCACAAGGCACTACACTTACTTGACCTTAACAATGTCCAAATCCAAGCTTCCGATTAACTTTTTACCAAGTCCCCTCAAATTCTGCTCAACATGAATAGTATCGCTTAAAACGTACCCAACCTGTTGACCATAAACTCTTGAAACACCATACAAAAGATTGCTCTGTAGACGTAATGCCATGGGAGCATCAGGTTCGAGTATCGTATTGCAGGCTTTCTTGACATCAACGTCGAGGATGGCTTTTCGAGTGATTTTATTAGTCGATGATTTACTACCTAGGGTCGCAACAAGCCATACTGTTGCGATACCATGTTTTCGAGAGGTGAGAACTAGTAGTGGTATGTATTAGAAAAATGATTATGGAAAGACTGTTGAAATAATAGAGAAGCAAATATGCAGAATGGTGAGATATGCAGTGAAGAGTTGAGCGCAGATGAGAGACATACTTTCATGGCTGTAGAACATTTTTCCTAATTCAATTCGATTTGAATCAATTCACAATGCGTAAATATACTACTGATTGTGGATGCGCACGCGCACCAAGAACTTCTGATTGTTTCGGCCAAATTGAGGACTCGTCTGAAGGTGTATGGAGAAGTATGAAGAAAGTCCAACTACAAGATGGGCTGAAAAATATAGAAGAGAAAGTAATCGAACTTGCCGGGGGTAAACTAATGGAGAGGAGAAACCAAGTTTGTGATAACAGAACTTCAAGTCTTTCAGAACTTGAGGTAATTTTCCAGCAAAGGAAGGTGTGCTCGTGTGCGGCTAGATCGCCCACCTGAAAAGTGAAGATGCAACACCTTCTCGAAAGGTGAAAATATTGAAATCTTCATAAAAATAAGACGTTTGTAGCAAGGCGTGGTAACATAAGTATGCATATACACCAGTACATCATTCATCAGAGAAACACACGCATCAAAACAAGTAATCACGAATTATAGAAGGTTACTTGTTATTTTTGTTAATGAATTGACTCGCTCGGAGCAGTAACTCACAAGGATTGGTATGTATGCGCTATGATCCTTATAACTCCATTCATACCATGCTATAACTATGCCTTTATGTTTCAACAAATATGAGGTCTATAATCCTTCGGTGATGCTAGCTAGAATGCAAAACCCATTAATTTCAATAGCATGCCTTCATCTTTGCATATTTCGATGAAGGCTACACGCCTGACGCCTAAACTACACCCGGTGTAGTTGTTCATTTTCCCTATCCACCTGTCATAAATTCGTTGCAGATCAACTCTGTGTCTAACCGGCATTACCCACTCTCTGATCGGCATATTGAGCTGTTCTTTCCTTTTTCGGTGTGTTTGACCTTAAGCTCGTTTGCGACATCTTAGGATGTACAAGTGGAGCAGTAGAAGTTGAGTTGTTGGCAGTGTGATTCATACTCGGTTGTCTCGATGGCGCATTGAAGGGAGAGTCGCCTCTGGCAATCTCATCCTGCTGCCAGTTTTGAAATTCTCTGGAACTCCAGCTTGCTCTATGAACACGTGCTCCATATGGAACACTGCCGTATCCTGAATGCTGACTGCGCATACTAGCGGCTCTGCTTCGAGCAGCCGTAGGTAATGAGGGCTGTGATGTATTTGGATCCCTATTTCCTCTCATCTCTGGCATCTCTGGCACAGTGTCCTCATCTTCGATCTTAGGGGCTCGGCGAACTTGGGTAACGCTGAAGTAGGGTTCCTTTGGCTCCTCGGGGACCGGTGGGGGTGGGGGTGGAAGATCGACAGCTTTCAGTTCCAGATGATCGAAGTATTTTGTGCGGATGTTTTGTAGATTGCGTGGCCTAAACTCCTCACGATTACGCATGATCGACATGTAGCTTGAGATGGCTCCAAGAACGATGAGTATCAGCAAGCCGATGGTTAAGAAACCTTGAATAACAATTATAATGACTCCAATGACTGTGGTTGGAATGCGTGCAACATTGTACCGTGGGAGGAATGCGACCGATAGGCCTGCAGTAGCAACCTTACTGATGCCCAGCATGTAGACCGCCAAGGCTGTATTGCGGGCACCCTCGAAGGGGTTGAGGCAGATAATAGCAATGAAGGCAATGATCTCGACGACGAGATTACCAAAAACTTGGGCATCGGGATTAGAACGAGCACCTCCAACGAAACAAGCTCTGACGAATTGATATACAACCCAGAATGCGAAGAACCACCAACGGGTTCTTCTATATCGAGCCGAGAGCCAACCAAATCGCTTAGTGTATTCCTCATCCTGGTGTACACTCTGTCTCTCCTTGTCTAGGTCAACGTAGTGCAAGCGGAAGAAAGATATAGAGCCAGAGGTTTTTGCTTTCTCGCTCTCTTCCATGCTACTTTCTCTCACAGCCCCATACCATGGGAGAAACTTCATCACTTTCTTTCGTTGAAAATGTATTCGATCAGGAGCCGAGGCATAATTGCCAAATCTAAGCCTAAAGTAGCAAGCGTAAAAGGCAAGTGCCAGAATTCCGAAGAAGAATATTATGAAGATGATGGCTGCAATTGCGATTATGCCTGTTGTGCCCCCATAAGAAAATTGGTAGAGCGACAAAGTCATTATCATGAAGAATGCAATGAGCATTGATCGTAGGACGAT